CTGTAATATTGATGGTCTCACAGTGTGCTTCATGTGTAATCTTAAAAAAAAAAATAATGACCAGTTTGGGGCCATTTGATTGGTTCATCTTGAAACATCCCACATTCCTTCAGCATGAATCTTGATGTACTGGCTCTCTTTACCACATAAATTTCAAAATTAGCACAATAAAAAAACCCAAACCACTAAAATTAGCATATCTACCTCTCATCTGCAAAGTAGAGCCATATGTTCCTTTCCTTGTCAATGAAACCCATCAGCCTCCCACTCAGCCTGTAGTAATCAGATATATTGTACTACAAAATATTACTTTGAGGACACACACACACACACACACACACACACACACACATCCCACAAAATTATAAACGGAGTGGGATTCTGAAGCACAATACTCTGAGACCAAGGTTTTTCTGTTCATTTACTACATACTTTGTCTTAACTGAAAAAATTCAAGATTACTCACCTGATGATACATGTAAATGAATTGACATTTCAGTATATGCCCAGAAATATGTGTAATTTATTGTGTAGCATAGAATTTTTTTTACCCTTTATATAATATGCTAAAATTTTACTGATAAATAACAGGACTGATGGGGTTTAACTTGAAGCTGTGACTGTAAGGATAGAAATAGAAATAAAAGTACCTGAGTGTTATAGTAAATAAAAAAATAAATGAGTGTTGGGCTATAAATGTTTATTATTAGCCTTATGATTATTGTAGCGGTATTATTTAACCTGCTATCATAGATAATAAGACACAGACACCTGTTAGATTTATAATTCCCTCATTTACCCTGGGCTGGACAGATATTTCACTTATGCTGGCTCACTAACCTCACCATCCATCTCCCAGCCCCCATCCAACACCATCCACCTTAATTCTTCTCACCTGGTCTAGCGTCCATCCATAATCCCATGGTACTCGCTTATTTTCTTCATCTGGGCCTTTTCACGCCATTATTGGAGTTCTTCGTCTCGGCTCACGTGGTTTTTCCTCCATGGTAACCCATCGTGGCGTCCTGCTTCTTCTCTTCCCTTTTTCTTGTCTCCCATTTAATTAGCCAATAAGGTAGGTTTACACAACATAGATAGGTGTACCCAGACCTTGAGAGCTAGTAACATGCGTCAGGCCAACCTCCAACACCTGAGATTGTCTTTCATATGATGAACTATCTGCAATTAATAATACTTACCTAAACCACAAAGGGGTAGAAGAAAGAATGTTAGTGAAAATGAAAGGAAGCACCAAGATGGGGAGGAGGCCATAGCAAAGGAAAATGGCAGGTGAAATGGGAGAGAAGTATAACGATACGCAGTTAAGAATACATCATTATGTCATTCGATATTCCTCTACAGAGAGTTCTCTGTTTAGCTGTGTTCTCGATTTTTTAATTGGATTACTTGGTTTGCTGTTTTTCAGCTTGTTTAGTTCTTTATATATAATGGATATTAGCCCTCTGTCAGATAAAGGGTTGGTGAAGATGCTTTCCCAAACTGTAGGCAGTCGTTTTGTTTTGATGATGGTGTCCTTTGCTTGACAGAAGCTTTTCAGTTTCATGAGATCTCATTTATTGATTGTTGCTCTTAGAGCCTGTGCTGTTGATGTTCTGTTCAGGAAGTTGTCTCCTGTGCCAATGAGATCAAGGGTATTCCCCAATTTTTTCTAACCGATTTAATGTGTCCGGTTTTATGTTGAAGTCTTTGATGCACTTGGACTTCAGTTTTGTGCAGGGTGATAAGTATGGATCTATTTTCATTTTTTTAAAAACACTTAAAGACATGCTCAACATCATTAGCCATTAGGGAAATGCAAATCAAAACGACCCTGAGATTTCACCTTACACCCATCAGAATGGCCAAGATGAAAAACTCAAGTGACAACACATGCTGGAGAGGTCGTGGTGAAAGGGGAATCCGCCTCCACTGCTGGTGGGAATGTAAACTTGCACAACCACTCTGGAAATCAATCTGGCAATTTCTCAGACAATTAGGAATAACGATTCCTCAAGATCCAGCCATACCACTCCTAGGCATATCCCCACAAGAGGCTCAAGTACACAGTAAAGACATTTGCTCAACCGTGTTTGTAGCAGCTTTATTTGTAATAGCCAGAAGCTGAAACCAGCCCAGATGCCCCTCAACTGAAAATGGATGCAGAAGTTGCGGTACATCTACACAATGGAGTACTACTCTCCAATGAAAAATAAGGAAATCATGAAATTTGCAGGTAAATGATGGGACCTGGAAAGGATCATCCTGAGTGAGCTGTCCCAGAAGCAGAGGGACACACACGGTATATACTCACTCATATAGACATATAACATAGGATAAACCTACTAAAACCTGTACATCTAAAGAAACTAATTAAGAGAGAGGACCCTCACTAAAATGTTCAATCCCCATCCCAAAAGGCAAAGAGGATGGACATCAGAAGAAGAAGAAGAAAACAGGAAACAACCTAGGAACCTGCCACAGAGGGCCTCTGAAAGGCTCTGCCCTACAGACTATCAAAGCAGATCTGAGACTTATGGCCAACTGTTGGGCAAAGTGCAGGGAATCATATGTAAGAAGTGGGAAACAGTAAGGTCTGGAGAGGACAGGAACCCAACAAGGAGAGCAGCAGAACCAGAAAATTTGAACACAGGAGTCTTCCCAGAGACTCATACTCCAACCAAGTACCAGGCATGGAGATAACCTAGAACCCCTGCACAGATGTAGCCCATGGCAGCGTAGTATCCAAGGGGGTCACATAGTAATGGGAAGAGGGACTGCCTCTGACACAATCTGATTGGCCTGTTTTTTGATCACCACTCCCTGAGGGGAGAGCAGCCTTGCCAGGCCACAGAAGATGACAATGCAGCCATTCTTGATGTGATCTGATAGACTAAGATCAGAAGGAAGGAGAGGAGGACCTCCCCTATCAGTGGACTTGGGGAGTGGCATGCATGAAGGAGGGGGAGGGATGGTGGGACCGAGAGGGTAGGAGGGAGGGGCTTATGGGGGAAACAATGTGAATAAACTGTAATTAATAAAAAAAAGTGTTAACTATTAAACTGAATTTAAAAAAAATAAATGCTGATGATGTGCGGAAAATAATAGAATACATCATTATGAAAATCAGCCTTTTGGGTACTATTTACAGAAAGTTAACTAAAAGAAGACATTTTTGAGAGAATTAAAGCACTTTATTTATTAAAGGGGAAAGTATTTTCATTCTATAAAAGTCAATTTATTTTTTTCTGCTTTTCCAGAAATGTATTCATTTTGATCCCACAAAGAGAGTGAATACTCACTTAACAAACTCCCAATGTTTGCATTGCTTTTTGATGACAATTTAAAAAAATTGTAGCCTAGGGTGGCTTTCAATTCTCTATACTCCTATTGAAACATGCTAGGATTTCAGGTGTGTGCCAACATGCCTTGCTTCCGAAGAGGGATTTGTTCTGATCTTTATTTAAACATTTTCTTAAGTGGCATGTATTCATAGCACTTACACAATTGGAAGGCAGTGCAGTTTTTCAAGATATGCATGTATGTGGATAAAGCATACTTAAATAGTTACTATTTTTATGTTCTGATTTCCATTCTCCACTAATTTTGGCAGGGCTGGAGAAGGCAGGCAGAGCCTCACACTCACTAGGCACTCACACTCTATTACTAACCTGCATCTGCAGCTTCTTTTCAACTGTTGTTTTGAAATGGGTTCTAACTACAAAGTCCAGCTGTAGCCAAGACAGGCCTGAAATAGGTCCTGATTCACCCTTAGCCACCAAGTTATCTCAGACTGCAGGCCTGGAGTGCTAAACATGGCATCGCCTTTGCTTTAGTAAATACTTCATACCTCATTGCAAATTATAGTCCCCAGTTTTAAAACAAAAGAACTTCACGCATTGAAAGGATTCTTAAATGGAATTACTGGGCTAGCCTGTCAACATAAGCTGGATCCCCAGATATGAAGTAAAGATGGTGATTCTTAATGTGTCATATCCAAAGTGGCGCTGCATATTTCACAGTTTTGAGAAGTTGGGCATCAGACCAGAAGGGTGGGCAGGCACACTGAGTGAAGAGAAGAGTTAAAAAAACCTATCTACATGTGAGGTTTACTCCCCTTCATAATATGGAGTAAGCAGAGAAGTCTTAGTTACACACAGTCAAGGTCGTATCTTTTACTCTGTTACTTACCTTTGTCTTTTTCTCAAAAGGAAACAAGACTAAATAAACAAAACGTGTAGTTTCATCTCTATATGTTACAACTTGCTATTTTAAAGCACATGTGACTTAGACATATGTGCTTATCAGACCTAGAAACAAGCTTGGCTGTTAGTAATTTTCTAATTGTAACTTGGAGTTTGAGTGGCAGAAGTTTAGCAGAGGTGGACAGAGGGGAAAGACTACACAGAAAGGCACTAGCCCGGTTCTCAGTTTTCTGTTCCTCTGTAGTTAAATGGCTTAATAATTCCTGAAAAATAAAACATCGGTGTTTTTGAAAGTGGAATAAAAAAAAAAAAAGACTCCTCAAAATTGTCCTCTCAAATTCACATGCACCGTGACACACAACTCACATCTCCCCCAAACCAGCCACCATGCACACATAATAAGTTATCGATTAATTATTGTAACTGTACTCGGTACTTACATTTCTACCTTCCTCTACGGAACTTCCACCCACCCACTTCCAGTGACAACTCTTTCATTTTTATCTTCTCTGAAAAAGTTTTCAGTTTCCACAAATGGGTGGGAAACATGTGTCTATATCTGCGGAAGCCAAAAACTTTCTCTTTTCAATTTAACAAGGGAACTAGTCAGGGCAGTAACTGACCTACACTCAGGTACTCACAGTCACTTCACACAGGCTGATAGAATCTTTCCTATTTCTAAAAACTACTTCTCTCAGAGATCTCCAGTACATATCTCCAAGATAAGAAGAGCACAATGTAATTCTAAGTTCTCTCCACTTGCTCTTGTACTTGGAGACAGTCAGTTCACGATCTTCCATGCACGCTGTCGCCAGAGTCATGAAGACAGACAGTTCCTGTACAAAGAGCCCTGGGGATATTTGTAAACCAGGAAAGATGTCCAAGGTGAGGTGACATGGTGGGGATTGGGCAGAGGCCCCTACCTGACTATGGGACGATATATAAAGCCTGAAAGTAGGAAAAGAGTCATAGGATACAAGGAATACACAGAAGTTTCAAGATCTCTATCCTCTCTATATATTCATCAATCTCTCAGCACATATTTACACACACACAAACACACAAATACACACACACACACACACACACACACATACACACTATATAACACACACACGCACACACAATTTCAGCATGCTCTCCACAGCAACCCTGAAGATATCAGAATGGTTACATTGAGCACTTTGATGACTCTCAGACATTTATAAATGTGGGAAGAGAACAAGTAGCTAAGATTGAGCACCTCTGGTGTTCTTGGGAAGAAGCTGTTGCCCTGTCTCTCCTGTGGCCTTCACATTGTTCAGAACAGACTATCTTGAGATTCTAGGTGCACTACTGAGTTCCTGTTTCGAAGACAGAGAACTGGACTAAATGGCACACATGTCCAGCAAATTTAGCTGTCAGAGCTTGTACTTTTCTTTTTCTAGTCCTTCACAGATATTTCCAGATACTTCTCTGAGGAAGAATGGGCAAAGCTGACCAAATGGCAGAAAAGTACCTATGTGTTTATGAAAAGAAACTACATCAGAATGAGAGGTCTAGGTAAAAGAAAGTGTTTTTTTTTTCTTGCTTTTGTTTGTGTGATGGTTTGTTTGTTTGTTTGTTTGTTTGTTTGTTGAGACAGTCCTGTGTGTCCTCCAGTCCCTTTTCATGCTAAGGCTTCGCCTCAGCCTGGAGCAGGTCCCTCTCCCATATGTTTATCTTCTTCATGGGAGAAAGTTAAAGGCTCTTTTCCAACCTGTACAGAGGTGACAACAGAGACCAGCCACCATAGGGCTCAGGCATGCAGCCTGCACTTTCTTCACCGTCTGCTGGACCTTATTGTCTATGTTGCATTCTAGCATCTTGCCTGCATTTCTCCTCTCTTTTTCTGGGTTAACTTTTTAAAAAGCACTGTGCTTCCTTCTAGGGGTCCCAGTCAACAAACCAGTTTTTATGCGTGTGAAGAAACAGATCAGAGAACACTTAACTAAAGACTCTGATGAAAATTGTGGCCATGAAAGTGAAGGTGAGTGGGCAGGGAGGGGCTGTGGAGGATTGCCTTTTCAGTCAAATGCTTGCAAAGGTCATAGACACCTCCTCCCTTTCTCAAGTCAAGCCTGATTGGAAAAGAATCTATTCAGAGAGGGAATTGGTATATAAAATTCCAAAATATTAAACAAAAGTATAAGCTTTATTATAGATGGTGAGTTGATGACAAATATGTAACACTTTCAGTTGGAATGACACTGTCTTGTATCCTATCATAAACAAGGACAGAAACACTACCCAAAAAGAGAAAGATGGAGGGAGAGAAGTAGGGAGACAAGGGGACAGGAGGGGAGGAGAGGGGAAGGGAGAGGAAAACATAATAGGAGAGGAGAGAGCTAGTTCACCTGCATATCAGAGAATAGACCCTTCACAGGATAAAGAGCTGAATGGTTCAAGAATCTATATCCTTGTACATTTGAATAACATGTATAATCAGGAGACAGAAGATGAGATGTATTCACTTACTCTTTGGCTCTAATAAAACTTCCAAAAAGAGTCAGAATGCCCTGTGTCTGACAGACCTGTGACTCCTCAGGAAAGCAGGTCAGATGTACAATCTTGTACAGTTTGTAATTGACCTCAAAGGCCAGATTTGGTATTTATGCACAGCTTTTGATACTAAATGAGAACTATTCCACTGTGTAGAAACCATTAGCACTGGGCTAAAGCAACCACACTTTCTCACAAAATTTAACACCTGAAGGTTAACTCATTTTAAGCAAAATGATCCTTCTGATTATTCGACATCTCTAAGTGCAAATGATTCAAATGTTTCTGCAACCCATTTAATGCTATGGGGGAGATAAAAATACATAGACTAGGATACCAGAATAGGATAAAGCTGTGGTGAGGCTCAGCCCACATTCTATAAAGTAACACCAGTAGGAGCTTTCTGAGCTGAAATTTCAACTGACGAATAGGGTGGTAGTAAAGAGGAAGAAAACCCATGCTCCACTTCTCCTCCATCAATGGGCTGTGACCATTCATTCTAGCATTCACAGCAGTTGCAGGGACCTAAACTTTGGAAATATTTGATAACAAGCAACAGCGTCTAACATGTCACCCTCCTGTAGATGAACATTGTGAGCGGACATTTGGTGCGGCACAGACCAGAGGCCTGAAGGTGAGAATCTCCTACTTGTATAAGACTTGGTCACATTTGTCCCTCCGTTCATAGTCACATTGGTGAGGATGGAAGATATGAAATGCGCAGCTCCTACACCCTTGCTCTGCTCATCTCATTGTTTCCTTCTCTTTTCTTTGTAGTTTTATTTTCTATTTTTCCTCCTTACTGCTTTGTTTCCTCTTATTTATTTCTTCCTTTTTTTTTATTTTGTAGTGCAGAGAATGAATTAAAGGGCTTGACACCTGATAGCTAACCATTCTATCATTAAGGAAATTTGTACAGACTTCTTGTTCCACAATGCCTGGTGTAGCATCTACATTATGATAATAATCATGTATTATTGTGATAAGTAATACATCTCTGGCTGTCGCATTACTTGTAGGCCCTGAGTCATTTCCCAGTTGCAAAGTACTTACCTAGTTATGATCAAGGTCCTGGCCTCAATCTCCACTACCATGAGCAGTGGTCTGAATCGCACTATTTTCTAATATTATTTTAATGAACTCATTCCAGTTAACCTTTTGGAACCATAATAAAGCAGAGAATTTTTTTTTCAAATAGAAATGAGTATGTGCTTACGATTTAATGATAATAATGAGGATGAGGCCCCTGTGCTTAAATATGCTGAAGCATTGGCCTGAGCAGCTGAGCAGCAGTTCCACCGAATTTATGATCCATAGCCCAGACCATTGAAATGCGTTCATGTCTTCATTGGTGTCTAAGGTCCATGGGAGGCCTCTGTTGGGTATTCTCCCACAAATGAGGTGGATAGTTCCATTCTAACACTTATTTTCCAAGGAGGCAGGAGCTGGTCTCTACTCTGTGGATGGGTCTCTCAAATGACCGAAAATGATAGGGCTTTCATTGTGAACCCCTCCTACTGTGATCGCCTTCCAAACATTCTCTACATCTTCAACTTTCTGATCCACAGCCCCAGCAAAAAGGAACCCTCAGAGGAACCTGTTTATGACATGGAAGTTTCCACTGTTGCAGAAAGCAATCTTTCAAGATGGTTGTAATGGATCTGGGAGCTGGTGGCTAGCAAAGGAACAGTTGAGAAATAAATTCAAGGGATCATAAAATAAAGCATTTGATTTATTATTAGTCCATTTAACCATGCTTTCAGTCTCCATCAGGTCTCTGTGAGATCATGACACTGAGACCTTTGCAGTGTATATAGGGAGGTTTATCAAGTGTTTTCAAGCTACAGTCTTATCTGTTTCATCAAGTTGTACATGGATGCTCTACACTACGAATAAACAATATAAATGATACACAGCTAAGAATTCCTGGTTTATGATGCCTCTTGAGCTACGTAGAATTGGTACAGGGGCCACTCAGTCTAATTCCAAGGGAGTTTTCTCATCAGGATTAGGTGTGATGACACACCTGTTACTACACATTTTCATGCCTAGATCTTTGTGGCTCATTTGTTCATTCTCCTTTCCTTATATCGTCTCCATACACAATGCTGATATACACTGTTTTCTCCCTTTATTTAGTATTTCATTTACTGTCCATGCAATGTTCCCCAAGCCTATGAGAGGATGTCCTATATTCCTTAAAATTCCTGTCTGAAGGGACACTGCATATTCCTCCATTCTCTTTCTTTACCAAATTTTATGCTCACCACACTCCCAGTTTTACGAACATCATTCAAGTTTTTTTTTTTTTTTTCTGATATTTGTCTGGGAAAGGACAAAGAACCTTTCAGTGATAGAAAGTTGATTTCCTTAGTCCCCCCTTTTCCCTTGTAAACTTCCAAGTTCCTCTGCACTTAGGCACAATAATGAAATAATCTTCCAGATGTGAGTAAGCACACTAATAAAATGCGTGAAAAAGACATGCACATCAGCACTTTGGCTGGGAATGAGATGCCGTCCAGGCTCTATTGCTCAAAACAATATATAGGCAAATTAATAGTTCCTTGGGAAGAGTCACAAGAGTTGTTTGCTGTTACTGATTTACCTGGAGAGTGAGAGACATATTATTCAGTGTTGTCTGTTGCCACTGGCAAAGTGTACCTGCAAAGAATAATGGTTTATGCATGTTTCTGCTGAGTAACCCTAATTAAATTCATTGATTGTGCTCAATATGAAAGTAGAGATCAAACTGGCTGAGATGTGGAAGGGCATCAACATGAGTGGGAGACAGTCACGAAAGGGTAATGGGTAGTGAACGTTTTCATAATACATTTTATACAACTTTTAAAATGTCATAGTGAAATGACATTTATGTGCTTAAAAATTAAAAATTTAAATGAGTGACACGTTTTGTTAACTCTAAAGCACTGAAGAAGTACCACTGATCTATTTGATATGTCTCCTTTGATATTTGATATTTGAAAGAAGCAGAAGGGGGCAACATGGAAAGGAAACTGCCAAAACAGAGTGCCAGGTGTACATGAGTCAAGAAGGACTCAGAAATGCCTGCATGCTCAAGGGAAAGCAAGTTTAGCTCAGAGACACAGAGGGATGACCACGGGTAACAGAAATCAATGGGGAAATACCAACTTTCGTTTTCTGGTTCTGTTCTATCGTGTGTTGAATATGTGGCGTGGCCTCTGTTCAAACACAGGATGTACCAAGCTACCAGCACTATCTCAGAGATTAGAACAGAACTTCACAATCATGCTCAGACTTGTCCATCATCTAAAAGCCACATGGAACGGGGCAATGCTTCTACATGCTCTGAGTTTCATATCCTTAGTCCAAAGGATGTAATTAAGGAGCCACTGTTTATACATTCTTTCAAGCTTTCCACTGAATCCAAATTACTTCACTACCTGACAGTTCCTCACATAACTATCTCTGTAGGAAACCCTGGATTATGAAACATAGACAGGAGAATGTTCTAGTGATAGGTGAGATGAGAAATCTATGTGACCCTGACAGTGGGTGGGGCAGATGTTCACAGTTGAAATGGTATTTCGACAGGATCGGTGTTGTTCTAAAGTCAGACACTCTGAGCCAGATTATAAGAGGCTAGGGCATGAACAAGGGCTCTAGCCCTGTGAGTGGGATCAATCTTCTGCTCGCCTCATAAAATGGGGATGGACCCCTCTCTCCAGAACCAGCTCTCATTTAGCTCATCTTCCTCACACCAGGACACCAAAGGAGTCAGAGTGCCAGAAAACAAAGATTGCAGAAAAGAAAGCGAGTCCTAATATTTGAAGAGAGCAGTGATGATGAAAAAAAATGACTAATCTGTAAGTAAACTGTTGGCACCTTCCCTATACCCTTCAAAATGAATATTGTTGCTATGGTATAGTCCTTTGTTCCTTCAAATCACTAAGGTACCTAATCCTTTGAGGCTTAATGAAACATTCCGTGCTTTTTCTACTCCTGTTCTTTGTATCAGTGTCTTTTCCTACCTGTGGTGCTGTGGGTTCCCAAGCCTCAGGTCAGCTCTCAATGTGCGGGCCACATAGAGAACAGATTAGGTAGTCACTGTGACCTAAGTAAAGGGTTTCCTTCAGCCACTATCTCTGAGCCAGGGCAAAAGGACAGTATGTAGGCTTTGCTGGACAGGAAAGATGAGTTGATGACTGAATTATCAGTGGTGAAACTCTTGGGCAATTATTTTCCTTCTGTCTCCTTGTCTCAGCCCAATACAGGCTGGAGAGAAGCTGATGAGAAGAATTTGATGGTCATTCAGGATCACAGAAAATAACTCTGGAATCCTAGATATCAAATGAAAGTAAAATCACCCACAGTGAAGAGTGAGCATCAGTATTCTTACTCTGTGCCAAGCACACTCTGAAGTGTCTTCTATGATTACTAGTTTGCTTGCTGACCTGCCTGCTTGCTTCTTTCCTTTTTTTTTTTTTAGATTTATTTAGTTATTTTAATTTCATTTAGGAGTATGCATATGGTTGTCTATGCATGTGTAAGACACTTGGGTTTGGGTACTTGCAGAGATCAGAAGAAGAAGGCTTTGGATCCCATGGAGATGGAGCTAAGGATGGTTGTGAGCTGCCCACTGTGGGTGGTGAGAACCTAATTTGGGTCAGAAAGAGCGGCGAGTGCTTCTCACTGTTGGCACATCTCTGCAGCTACCCAAGCCTAGCTATTACAATGTGAAACACTGGCTAATATTTTTCTTATGTCATTGTAAACGCTGTATCACCATTGTTCTCATTTTGTACTACTCAGTAAGCATTGTTTTCACCGTTTGTGGACCACTCTGTTAGCATTGCTCTCACTGAGTGACAAGCGATATGTTAGCATTTTTCATCATCTGTGTCAAACATTCTGTTTCTGCTGGTCTGGCTCTATGTCAAGCCCTTCGTGAGTATTGTACTTACTGCCCTCTGGATGAAAATTGCTCTTACTCTGCCTAGAACTCTGATAGCACTGTGTTTACTCTGTGATAAACACTCTCATAGTATTTTTCTTACTATATATCAAATATGTTAGATATCTGTATTTCACTGAGAAAGGAATAAATGTAAAGTGGGCTGTCTGTTGTCTTGAAAGTATTTTGGAATCACATTCCATCAGACATTTTCTGTATTTAAGTGTCCTAGCCTTCTTGTGCCCAAATATGAACATTGCAAACAGTGCTGTTCTGTTTTATAATTTCAAATATTTTTCTCTGTGCTTGCATGGAGAGAGGGGGGAGGAAGAAAGAAGAAGAAGAGAGAAGAGAGAACAAATCTCTATGCTCAACTCTCACCTGCTCTGCTCCACTCAAAACATGATTTGCCTAGTCCTTCTCACAGTGTTTATTAGTTAGCACATGCGGTACAGGGAAAAGATAATCTATCCTATCAGGTCTCATCATTAGTCACTGCCACCTAATAGGTGTTTGTAAAAGTTTTCCAGGCATGGCACTGAACTAGTGCTCATCTTGGAGATCTCTCTGCTGGCTCCTCATTTGCTTGGCCAGCCTTGGTCAGAGCTACACAGAGCCCAGAGGAGGTGAGGTGGCCTTGGAACACAAGTCCTTTTTCTCCCATGTTGAGGAGGCCTCCAGCTTTTGGCTTGATCTTTTTG